TAATGTGCTTAAAAATCCAGCCACCATATAAGCTTTTTCTATCAAAAGCGCTATGGATGATTTTGTACACATCTAATTTTGAAAAAATTAACCAAATAAGAGGTTAAGAAATTTCCTTTTGGATTTTCTTAATGTGCTTTAACACTATGACTCTTGATAAGAAGTCTTATTTTCTGAAGTAAAGATCAAACTACCATGCGAAAATAAGGTTAGGTTCATCACAAATATAAAAGAAGGCTAGTTATCTATCAATAAATACACTTAGAACAAATGGATGTACAAGATACAAAAAATTGCCTCTCAGTTTATTGAAGTTTTAGAGGTAAACTGAAACGCAGTCAAATCTAATAAATTAATTTATTACAGTATTAGTTGACACAGGTCAGTAACATACAGATGGTATTCTGTGGATAGTTTTCCTGCCACGTAGAAGAAACGCTTATTATCCTAAAGAGAGACCAATTCGAAAAGTCACAAAATGATTGAAAACATCGCGAATGACATCAAAATTACAAGGCAAGAATCACTAAACAAAATCCCAATCTCGGATTTCTTACAAAACAGAATAAACACAAAAGTTTAGGAAGTCGAATCATACTGATCACAAACCAACATTACACTATTCAAACTAACCTATGAGCAGTGCACCACTATTATGAAACGAAAAGTCGTAGAAACTAATGTTCCATAAAAATAAACACCTCAGTAGCTTCATTAAAATTATATAACAAATTGAACTGGCATCACAAAGTCAACCTCAGAAACTGATAGCTTTACTGTATTCTCACAACATCTCGAAAGGCATCACAAGGATTTTAAAACTGTTTCAAATCGCCGCTAGCCACAAAGCAGAGCAGTTGTTTCACTCCAATTTATGTCAACCAAAATAAAAAATTAAAAGAAGATGAATGCAACGTCGTCTACAAATGAAATTGTACTGAATGTAATAAACACTACGCTAGATGAAGTGTAGATCCTCTTCACCTACACATGCAGAATGCTAGTCGTCAGTGAAACAATATAATATGATGTCACCGACTTCAAATCACGTCGTTGACCACGGGTATAAACCTGACTAGGAAAATTTCGAAACTCTAAATAAAAGGAATTCTAGAAACTTAGGATTTATATTAATCAAAACTCAACAGAAAATAGAGATGGACTATGTCTGTCAACCAGTGAGAAGAAGGCCAGTCAGAAGCCTCATCAGAGGAGCGAGAAAGTGAACATAGATCCGGAGACGAACAAAAACAACCAATAAAAACCAGGGCCACCAAAATTGACTGATGCAATACTTGTGTAATAACTGGTTGTGTAACATCATCCTACGAGATGACCCCCTTACTTGATCAACACTGCCTAGTGAATATATTACTCGAAATTATTTACACCACGTGTTTGAAAGACATTCGTAGTACGTGATTAGAGTAAAATCTAGGACAAAATACTTTGTTCTAAAGTAATAGCGGTTTTCAGAAACACCAATATCCTCAATTTTTCATGACCAAACCTCTAGTTTGTTAAATGAGTGAAGTTCAGGTGCTGAGGTAAAATCCTGGAGATTGAAATCAAAAGGTTAGGACAGGATTTATTATTAACTGGACATACTAGACTACTCGTAATAATTTTAGTTCGTAGTGAGCCAAATACACATGACAGGGTTCACTGGTTGACAATAATCAAATATGAACTATCTTCTTCAAACAAATGTATTTGTGCAAATTTTCATCAACAGTTGTTGGACAGAAGTAATTAGACCAGTCAATTACTGTACTATGTTTCATGACCCTTTACAATGAATAGAGTATTGTCTCACTAAAATTAATGATAAAGATTGAGGTTTTGTAATGTTAATTTATTTTCGATTAGAAAATGTTTTAGACGATACGATTTGTGTCATCATAGGGCTCAGTAAAGGGGTTGCCTTCAGAACTAGTGGATGAGAAAAAAACTAAATTCAATTACCCTTTCCGTTCAATTTCAAAAATGTTTACAGAATACTACATCGCATCTGTAAATTTAATTAGACTGACATAGTTACCGTTCACATATTTCATGATAAGTCTTCAATTACCAGCTTCTTTTAAACATGTGATCAGAGCCATGTACAATTGTGATTAAAAAAATAAAAAAGATGATTGTAACTGCATGATTAGTGTATGCAGCCTTAAACGCCATTCAGTTCAAGTGAATGACAACAACACACCATAAAAGTCAGTTAGATTTCTCGAGTCCATTTAAACTAAATAGTTAAATAATAGAACACAATGACTGCATATAAGTGAGTGTATAAGATAGTTTATTGTTCGGGAACTGAAGACACTAACAATCATCTAGATGTATGCCCGAACACCGATTACCACGACGTGCAATACTAACCGGTGTTGGGGATGGTTAGAAGAAGGTTAGGGGCGGCCAAACCAAAACGTGGCATCAGTGCTTGAAGTCACTAACTTCTAGTCTGAGCCATGTTGGTAGATGCAGACTACTTGGTTGGGGTCCGCGTGACTATCGTAACCGATGGTTGGAGACTCTTTGTGACATAGCTCAGAATCGATCACAATGGCGTAGGTGTATACACTCCCTGTCTTCCCTTAAACAAAGAGATTAAAATTGCTTCATATCTTTCTTTATACTAACTAATTCTTTCTTCCTGTACTATATCCTTATTGTAATCTTTCTTTTATATATTACCACCTCTGAATTAACCACTTATATGAATCCGGTGTCCATCTTGTTGTGTTAATGAGGTAATGGCAACTTGGACCGATGCATATATGTGCCTGGTCCTCCGTTGTAGCTGACTGACTGAAATGGGATAGAACTAGAATTTCTAAGTTGACTTGTCTAATATTTAAGTAAATAGAGGAAAATCATCATGTTTATTTAGTTGAATTAGAGTTAGGCAAGTGTATAGAGCTTGATCATGCATTTAAAAAGTCAGACGTTACCTAACGATAAACCTGGTTAAAATTGGATTTCAGCCAAAAATGAAAGGAAAACAAAAACTGAAGAGAGGAACCAAGAGAAAATCTGGGAAGGCTAAACGCAAAGGTCGGTCATCTCGGCAGAAAAAGCCTAAACATGAAATTGATATTATGAGCCTATGTGCCATGGAAAACTTGTACTACATCGCGCACAATGCACCATGTGCATTGATGTATCGTGGTTTTCGTTGGTCAAGGTTGAAGCCAAAACGAGGTAAGGGTAAGCGGAAAGGGAGAAAGAAGAGGAAAAAATAACTACCTTGACGTACCATTCAACACCATACAAGATGCTTCCACTGAGATGTTATCTTTTATTTATTTACTTATTTATTTATGTTCACAGATAATTTCTGTTGTTTATGACATTTATTTCATAGCTTTTCCATAGCATGTGCAAATAAAATTGTTACTAAGACCTATTTATGCTTTTTGACAATTGCAAAGATCCAGATAAAGGCCTTTAAACCTACAAACCTGAATATCAAGGAGTACTAATATTTTTACAGTCAAAAACATGCACACAGCCGGACTAGCAATCATGAAAAGTTTAAAATGGGTATTGTCTTCACCAAGATAGAAATAATAATGATAATAATGATAGAAAACTCTAACCGAATGCTAAATCTTAGTAGAGTAAGTGATATGCAACTAAATTCTATTCACTATCTCGACAAAAGTGATCATGGTGTATTTTGTTTTCAAAGCGATCAAAAGATGAATTATAGACTGAGCATACGTGTGTTATCCAAAGTGTACTATTCAATTAGTTCAGTAATACGAAACAAATCTGATTCCCGTTGATAAATCGAAGATGGTATGATTGCTTTTTCACGCACCTGACAGCTGAATAATTGAAATATGTAACATAACACAGTGCTGAACGTCACTAATTTCCTTATTCTTAGTTCACAGTATTCCGCATAGATGAGTAACATCAACGAGTCAAACTGGATCTTACTTTGTATAACACAATAATTTAATATGAATTTCCAGAACCTGAAGATCAATACGATGAGGATAACAACACGTATTCCCTAAAAATCTGCTGTTAATGAAATGAAACAAAAGTTTTTTAGACAATTAGACGGGATCAAGATACCCAAAATATAAAACGAGAAGTATCGCGAAACTTTCAAAAAGAACAGGCAAAATGAGGTAAAGCTAGAAATTTTCTATTCAAAAATCTAGTGAAATAGAAAATGTGAAGGTAATCCAGCTTCGTTTTGATAAAGCTCTTAAGTCATAATAATCCTAGTTTTCTAAAACAGTTAATCAAACCATTTAGTATTCCGTAGTGATAGACAAATAAAAATTCCTGTCTAACATTTAGTCGAAAACTGGAAGTCAACCTAACGACAGAACAAATTATGCAATAAGGAAACAATGACATAGTTTTAATGAGTAGAAGACTGAAATTTTATAAGCCGCCTGTCCTGTCATAGCTTTTCTGTAGGGAAGTCATTTGATTCGTACGTTAATCGACTGCTGATACGACTAGTGAGCCTAGAATTGATTGAGATTTTGTCCTTTTAAAAAGAAATTATGTATTCTTCAGTCTTTGTGAGAACAGCCAGTTTGTCCTTACTGCATTGTTGAAAATCGGAACCAGTCCTCACCGTGTAAAGTTCAAAGCTACTCAGTGTGAAGAGTACATGTAACTCAGAATATCACTGTTTGGTCACCAGTCACTGTACTACTCTGCTAATAGTCTGTTAAATTGAATGTTTAAAGTCCATATACTTCATCGACTTACGTTTAAAAACCTAAATGCAAATTAAGGTCAACAATAAGAGTGAAAGGAATTATTGTTATTGTTTTGCTAACAGTTTAAATGAAATGAAAAATTTGCACTATAGACCAATTCAATCGCCAAATAACTAGTGACAAAAGCAGTATGAAGGCAATATTTTAATTGAATAACTGAAAACAAATTAATTTACAAAATATGAATGCAAAAAGAAGCTTATTAATTATACATAAATTTCCACAAGTGTTAGAGATCCCCTCAAAGTTTTACGTTAGTAACGATTTTTGTGGAAGATGAAGTCCAAATGGAGAAGCGATTAAACTTAACCACATAATCATGTATTTCACCGGATCATTAAGTTGAGTAGGCTGCGAATAAAATACTTCCTTCATGAGATCAGCAGTTTTACAAGGATGGAACTCATAAAACGGAATTCCGAGGTGTGGATGTTCGATTTCACTAAGGGCATGTAGGGGTAGTGGTACTTCAGAAAGAGGAAACACAGATGAACGGAAATTTTCACTCCATAGTTTGTCATGATGTAATGAACGGCCACTTTTTGTCTGGAAACGCATTAAAAGAACAGGCACTTGATAACTATGGCTGAAAACTACACGATACTCTGCTAAAATTTCACCCGACAATAAAGATTCACTTGTTAATAAAGAGCTGGTGTTTGATTTGCCAAGTAGTATTGGCTTTCTGTAGACCATTTCCAATTCGTCCGGATATCCAACAAATTCATCAATAAACCATTCATCACCACTGTTACTATCACAGATTAAATTGTTTTTTAAGGTTTGAATAGCATCTTTATATGCTATTAATGTGAGTTGGCCATTTTGATGATTCCTAAAAAACAAGGAACATGAGAATTGATGGTTAACTTCTCTGACTAAAACATATGGGTAGAAATACTGAACTTTGCAAATGGAATTAACTTGCATAAAAAAATTGTAGAATCCACAAGAACATTAAACATAAGCGTAGAAAAAGAATAAGTGTATTAGCATCATTTTTACCAATTTCAAAGTTTTGCACAATTCTTAACCAGTGATTTTTAATTTTTCTGCAACACTACCAAGAAGCTTCAATTTTATTAGGAGACTAAGACCCAATCTCAATTATTTTGAAGAATACTGTCACGTCCTTTTTTTAATCTTTCTTTTTCAAACTACTAATTTAGCCAACACTGTGAGAATCAGTAAGTTGCAAATCACAAAGTGTAGCCTGTAGTCCAGCCACTTCAGTATATTCAACTTCGTAACCTAACCAAGTGAAAGTTTCTATGCCAAAGACTCTAAATCTGGCTAATTTATTGATATTTTTCGAACTCTTGAAGCTTTTGATTAACTCAAAGTATGGTGTGTCAACTAACCACTATTACTTTCAAAAAATAATGATCTTCATTTTCTTATTGGTGACCATCATTTGTTGTGCAAGCTATTCTAAAACTTTGTGTGCACCTGGGTAGCTTGTGATTGCCAGTGGTGGGGTGCTTATTGACGGTCAATCTCCAATTAAAGAAAGCCAGAGGGAGTTAAACTTTTCTAGATCCTTTTTGTTGCTATTGTGAAGTTGATCTGCGTGTAAAAATTCAGCTATACGATGTCAGTAAAATAAAAACTACTATATCACACAATCGACGACAGTCTGGCTTAGTGAGAAACAATAGTATGACTTTATGAGGGTTAAAAGGTAGAAAATGGTATTTTTCTCAAATATGTTAGACTGAGGTTAGTCGCGGCCCAGACAAATCAGTGGTAACGTCTCTGATTGTGAAGCTAGGTGACACGGGATCAAATCCATCGGGGAGCATCAGTTCCCTCAAGGTATATCTTGCTGACAAGTGCCATGTGGCACAAAACGTAGGTCCAGGGTTTCCAGTTGACTACCTCCAACTACCATCCTATCTTAATATAGTGAACGCAATGTCGATTCACCTAAACTGGTCGATAGGATTCGATATGCACTAAGAGGGACCTGGCATACATGACACTGATTACCACCCAGTGATCAATCAATTGTAAACAGTTCGACTTATTGCACATAGATTGTTGTGCATACACAAAGTACCTGTTTTTTACAAGTATCGATACATAAGAAAAATAGCTCAGAAACTACCTACGGGTAATTTGCTGATTTGCCAACCAGTGTGCTGATCATTCCAAACGTACTTGTAAAAGTAAGTGAGATACTCCAAAAAACCGTTTAACTGAAAAGCTTGCTCCATTTATATTTCAATTAAAATGTCGTATGTCACAAATTTAGCGAATAGCGAATTACAAAACGGGACAGAAAATATGTTGCACAATTCTTCAGTGAAGAGATGGTCGTGATTTTTTTCAAAAGGGTTTATCCAATATGTGCCCTAGATGGAATAAAGACACGCAACCTATTTATTCTTACTGTTCAAAACGAATCCTTTTTACTTTCGCACCGGCATTTTGCAAAAAGCATGGTAGTTGGAGGTAGTTAACTGGAAACCCTGGACCTAGGTTTTGTGCAACATGGCAGTTCTACAATGTGAGAGACGGTTTAATTGCTTGTCTATCAAAACAGAGCGACATATGGCTTAAGAGATTCCTCATACACGAAGTTTTCAGACTGAAATCTAGTTTTTGTGAGCAAGGCGTTTCCCGAAACCACAATAAAATACTACCACCATATCAATGGCAGCTTTTTAACAGAGTCAACTATACTTTTTGGTAGTATAAGAACTTCACTGAGATTTAACTTATGTTAATGTGTGGTTCATATGATAAGATGACATATTTGTGGGTACTGAAACTTAGGATTAGTTCAAAACACTGTAGTAAGATAAGAATATCTACTCGAACAGTGGGACCTATGCATTAACCAACAAAATTGTGTACCATTTATTTACCTAATATTACCATGGAAGTGGTTTTGTAAGCCTTATATATGCGCTTCAAAAAGGTCATTTGGTGTTGTTGTCAAGTCGATGAAAAATTAAGGTTGGTAAAGGATAAACAATCGGAGAAGCGGTCAGCAGAAGGTAGTGTGGGACTACACGTCCCAAACCTACTTTTCCTAGTATTTAGGTATTAGCAAAGTAGTACTAAGAATTGTTTTCTTAATCATCTTTAAGTCAGATCTGTTCTCTAGAAACATTCAAATATCCAGATAAGTAAAGACTAGATTTTCATTTATTCTGTATGATCAGTCTGAAGATTGTGACTAGATAAACAGTATGTAGTGAGCTCAGTTAGCAACAGATATCCCAATTAGTGAGTTATTTTAAGAACTTCGAGCCGAGAAATCGAAAATGATAATAGTAGACACTGTAAGTATTTATTTTGCACCGTACTGACGCAGTTGGTTTCAAAGAAATACAGAATTCACCATGATTACTAGTTCGATTACTATATTTAAATGATTTGTAATTGGCACTAAAATAAACATGAGCAGGAATTTTGCATGGCAAACTAAAAAACGGAGAATGAATGTCAGCAGTGAGCGATCAACGCGGAGGTGGAAGACAGTAAAGGAATGAAAGAGAGCAGATATTAGACAGGGTGAAAAGTAGGTAGGACATCAAGACAAAAAAAGGAGATTCAGTACATAAATATCACTGACTCCAGAAGTCTAACGATATAGGTATTTTGAACTACATCATCACTCATACTCTTGTAAGAGTATGTCTGCAGAACCTAGAGAATGGTAACAAATCAACACATGGAATGTGTGAGAACTGATTAGACAACCTGTGCCCCAGTTGTGGAATGACAAAACTAATGGTGAGTAGTTACATCTAGAGAATTCGCTCTGAAATTACACATAAATTGGTAACTACATTCAACCCACATAACTAGTATTTGAAGGTATGGGATTTTCGCCATTTTTCTCTGAAAAACTAACTATACTCGAAAGTAGGCTGGATCTAATTGTGGACAAGAATGAGAATTAAACAATGTGTTATAGGGCGTATAAAAAAATCGAATTCTTTGGCAGCACACAGCACACTGGGTGTGATGGTAATATCCGGTTGCTCGAACAGAACTAGGTGAAGTGGGGTGTGAAACCTAGTACTTTTTCTCGGCTTTTCCACTAGTCACAAGTGAGGAGAATGGGACAAAATGTACAATAAAGGTATGAAGCATTTAGACAAACTGTTCAAGAGATGTTGAGTTTTCCTTTCAAAGTGAGCTTCAAAACAATGTTTCTTCAAATATTTATAAAGCTGGGCTATAAGTGCGAGCTAAATATGAACGTGTTCATCGTCCCAAAGTATACATCAAAACAACCTGTCGCCTACCGGTGGAGTGAGTGGGAGATTTACTCAAGGAATCGCTACCGATAGACCGTACTATAAATATTTCAATCCAGGAAGGCATCATAAACTATTTCAGTACTGAAACCACCACTAGCTATCTTAGGATTAGTTTTCAGAGCTAGTGTTGCCGTTTTCAACTGATGTACAGCTTAAAGTTCAGAGTAAGATTCATTGTTATGGTTTATGATTAGAACCTAGTATAAGGATTTAGAACTAAGGATTTATAGTTAGAACTAGGCTTTAGGATGAGAGTATATGATTAAGACTCGAACTGGAGATTGAATTAGGCGCTCTCTAAGTCATAAACCCGATATATTAATTTTAAACCTAGGTATAACCTTAAATCACGAACTCTAGATGTACAAGGTCAGTCGTACTCTTATATCATAATGCTAAGTACTGATTCTATAACCTAAATCCTAGTCTCAGCATCATATGCAATCCATCAGTGTTTGTTGTTGAATGACTGACCAAATGGGTAAAGAAATTCTTGAAGTTATTCGAAAGGAGCTCAGTATTTGAGGAGATTTAAATTCACTAGATGCTGCCCCGATCTCCCAATTTTGGGGAAGAATTTTTACCGAGTTGGAGGAAGCCACTATAGAACCTTTTGGAGAAATGGCACCAAAACCCCGAAATTTCCCTTTAACCTTGGTGAAGGTCTTTTGACTTTGTAGGTTTCCCCAAAATTTCCCCAAACTTGGGAGATTAGGTGATTGTAACCAAATACAATTTTATGATTCTAGAGCTTTTTATCACGAAAGGACCGCCGTATTCCTATATCGATGACAAAAAGATTTCTTTCACAGTAGTAGGCAAGTAGTGTGGCGCAAATTCGTACCGTGTTGGATAGATACAAACTCTCTTCTACGACGGATATTCTGTTTCGTCAGTTATAACATCAGGCAGTTTTTCAATTCGACTGATCATGAATCACAACTGATATGAGCCTTACATTCGGAGTGTAATACTTTAATATACTCAAGACCCAAATATTTCTGCCATGACCTTGAAGTCACAAAAGCCTCCGCGTAGAATCTGTCTTCAGTATTCAGTTATAAGGATAGTAGGTTGATGAACCTGTGTTAACCTTGACAGATTGCCTTCGAGTGAGAGTCCAGCTTCGCCTTGAAAATATTCACTGATGGTACTGATACCACTTGTTCGTGTAAGTGGTTTCAATCATTCACTACGCTATGAGAAAAACGGGATCTCACTCTAAGTTTATTAGATCGCGCTTTGCTATGACCTCTGAGATTATTATTGCCGGAGGGAGCGAAAAGAAAAGACATATTAACACCGAAACCATAACTAAAAGTACCAAATGCCAGTATAATGTCACCTTGTAGCGGTAAATAAATCCCCATAATAAATAGCACTAAGTTTTCGACATTGGATGCTGACCATATGTTTTAGTGGACTCATCTAGCTGAAGGCGCTCGGTCAGGCATCCGCACCAGATCACGTGTGGTAACGCCGTGCTCAACATCAACCGCAATCGCTAGCCAGATTAGATCAGAGAATTCCGATATATTGGTCATCGCCAAATATACTCTTCCGATCTCCTCGACTCTGTCTTTTGATTTCTCTTGGTGGGAACGAAATATATTAGAAGGTGTTACTGGTAGAAGCGTTGTCAAACACTGAATACCTGTGACATCATCATTGGTGAGACCGTCGTGATCTGGTACACCTTATTGCAACTGTGAGTCTGTTCCTTTTTGGGATTTTTATATATCATTGCCTTATTTTTTATTTTTTTTAAACATTGTGATTTTTTTTCGTGTTTTTTCTTGGATATATATATATTTTCCCCTCGTTCATTATCGTACTTCATATTTCATCATGACTGAACAGACACCTAAAGTACTCAAGCTTAAGACCTTGTCCCCACCTTCGTTTCAACTGATGCCTTTCTGGCCCGACAACATCGAAGCCTGGTTTTGCTACGCAGAAGCCGACTTCTCCGAGCACGGCGTGATCGACACACGTGCACAATTCCTCGCAGTAGTCAAGGCACTACCGCGCGAATTCAACAGGTACGTAACACCTAGTATGTTTACTAGTGATGTTTCCGATCCTTACGAAATCTTAAAACGCTCGATTCTTAAACGAGGAGACCTAACCGATCGACAAAGGTTAGATCAACTCTTCAATAACATCGACCTGCAACACGGTTCTGCGACAGACATGTTGCAACGGATGAGAGAGGTTATAGGCCCAAGAACTTTCGACGAAGGTCTATTCAAACAACTCTTCTTGTCAAAACTTCCCCAACAGGTGCAAGCAGTTCTGGTCTCGTTCCAGAACAACGCCTTAGACGAACTAGCTGCATCTGCCGACCGCATTCTAGAAATTACGAAACCTACTACCGAGGTATTTTCAGTCAAAGAAAAGCCTCACACGACTCAGAATGACATAACCGACTTATGTCACACACTCACGCGTTATCTTAGTCTTCGTACCGACCGTAAGAGATCGCGCACACCACGTAGAAGCATTTCTCGTAAGCGATCTGTCTCTAGACCACGAGAGACAGATAACCCCGACTGGTGCTGGTATCATAACCAGTATGGAAAGTTTTCCAGAAATTGCAGAAAACCCTGCAATTTTCCCAACACGAAACCGACTGATTCGAAAAACAATTCGGGAAACTTCCAAGCCGGCACGCGTTAACGGCAACCGTAGCCGGCGAACAAAGCCGTCTGTTATTCGTCACAGATGTGACAACGAGAGTTCGCTACCTCGTCGACACTGGCGCAGAAGTTAGCGTTCTCCCAGCAAATCCTAACGACCGACTTCACGAATCGACCCTAAACTTACAGGCGGCAAACGGAAAACCGATCGCTACGTATGGCAAAAGGTACGT